ATAACTATTCATGTCCATCATGATAAAGTTAAAATTTCTTAGCAAATTTATAAGGCTCTTTTAAGTCTCACTTCTACTCACCTGCTGTTACCTCCTATCCCTCCTCAGTAGTACAACCCAACCCTGGAGTTCAGGCATGCCCGAAGTCTACAGTCCTGAACACACCAGGCACTTCAGTGCCTCTGCACACATGTGACCTTTGTCTGGAATGTCTTCCCTTCTCATTTCTCTGGAAACTTGGATTCGTCTTTGAAGACTTGGCTCAAACATCATTTCCATTCTTTTGTTGATGTGATGATGATGATGATGATGATGATAGAACAGGCATTGAATTAAAATTTAAACCATAAGAAGTAATTAAAATAAATCTCATACTCTCAACTTCCAGTTTTGTTCTATCAGTTTTTCTTTATATATTATTAGGTGCATGCACATTTATGATTATTATATCTTCATAATATACTGTCTCTTTTTATCATTATGAAACATCCTCTTTTCCGGTGAGACTCTTTGCCTTGAATACTATTTTACTGATATTTTTATCGCCACTCTAGCCTTCTTATGCTTAAGGTTTACATGATATTCCTTTTCTCATCTACTGAGGAGACAGCATATAATTGGGCCTTGCATTTTTTTAAATCCTCACCCAAGGACATGCTTATTGATTTTAGAGAGCAGGGAAGAGAGAGAGAGAACATCGACGTGAGAAAGAAACATCAACCAGTTGCCTTCCTGTAGGTGCCCTGACCAGGGATCAAAACCGAAACCTAGATATGTGCCTGACTGGGAATCGAACCCACAACCTTTCAGTGTACGGGACGATGTTCCAACCAACTGAGCCACACCGGCCAGGGTTGGGCCTTGCATTTTTATCCATTCTGTCAACCTCTTCCTCCAATTAGAATATGAGTCCTTTTCATTTAATATAATTATTTATATAGTTAGATTTAAGCCTATAATATTACTACTTGTTTTTCCCTTCTGTTATTTTTTCTGCTTCTCTTCCTTCCTTTTAATTAACTGAATGTTTTATGATTCAATTTAATTTTTCTATTGGCTTTGTAGCTATCTCTTTGCCTTATATTTTATTGCCCCAGGGTTACAATATACATCCATAACTTTTCATACTGCTAAGAGTTTATATTGCAACACTCCACATAAATTGTAGAAAGCTCGCAACTACATAAGTTCATTTATATTGCTTGGGCTCCTGTCTCCTTTCTTGGATTCCCCTCCCCACTTTCCAGTGACTGTGGTTGCCCTGAGCTGTGTCCTCTGGTTCATCAAGCCAATAGTATTGCAGATTTTTCTGCCAGAATTTTAGCTGCCCTACATGCACAGACTGGGGCCTGCCTTCGGGCTAAATACTACTTCAGAAGAAAGAAATTTACTCTGCGATGTCCTTTTCTTCCAAATGTCAACTTCCCACCAGTATCTGCCTGCTTGTTTTTCATTCTACAGTATCTCCAGGTAGCTGATTTTAAGATTTTTGTCTAGAGTTTATGGTTGGATTTATTATTAGATATTTATGAATTTATTCTAAAGAAGTCTATGGCCAGAAAGAAAATAGCTAGGATTCCTTGATCCTGTTGTTAATGGGGTTTTTATTTTTATTCCATACAATAAGGAATTTTCTAACTCCCCACATTAGTCTTACTTTGTTTCCTTACTGGGAGAACTAAGCCTCAACATTGATCCAAGTGCTATTCATGGGTTATTCTATTTAATCCTCACAACTCCTCTGTGGGGAAGATGGCCTTATTATCCCCGTTTTACAGATGAGAAAACTGAGCAGGAGAGGTGAAGCTACATATCAAAGTCACTGTGCATGGATGGTATTCAAATGGGTAGCTCACTCCACAGCCTGTTTTCTTTCTTGATCTGGCTAGGAGACCTGGCTTGCAAAGAAGGCAAGGAATCAGGACCAAGGCCGTAGCTGCAGAGAGAAGGTGGAAGGAGACATCTGTGACTTTTATCTTGGCCTAGTTCTCATTAGGCATCCCAGTCAAAGGCCTATCCCAGGTAGGCATAACCGACAAAACCCACTCTAACTACAGAGAATTAAGTCGAAGAAGAGCTCACGAGGATGGTAGGAAGTTGGGAGGACCAGAGGATCCACGTGGAGGCCATGTGGCTGCTTACAATGCTCACAGCACCCCAGACACTGACCTGCCCTTCGCCTCTCTCGCTCATGCCCTGATGGCTCTCACCAGTGTGTGTGTCAGATCCTCGTCTCTCACCCATGCCTCGTGCCAGCTGTGAGGGAGGCTGTGAGAGAGCGTTTCTGGTGGGACATCCCTGGACGGTGGAAGGGTGTTCAAATGGTGCCGGGCAACCAAAGACTTCAATCGATGTGCACATTCCATGTCAATGAGCCACTGGGCAGATCCCGTGTGACCTGCTTTTCTCATAATAATCTCTCCCAGCCAGAGGCCAGGACAACCCCTTCCTCTGCTGCCTGACTTCAAGTTTCCCCCGTTCAGAGAAAGCCAAGCTCTGTAAGCAGACAGTTTTATAGGAGCATGACTCATGCTGGTTTTCGTTTAACTGTTATTGCACCTTGGCGATGATTAGATGACTGCATGTGGAATGTAAGCTAGATTTTCTGATCAATTATAATAAAAATTGGATTCTAGAGATATGCTTGTTGAAACTCTCAGTTTGTTCAGCATCACCTCCAACTGCTGGCCAAGTAGACAAGGGTTTTATAACAGCGCTTCCCTGGTTCCCAGGACTCTGCACTGGGATCTGGGCCGTGGGGGGTTATCTAGCCAAAAGGGAGTGTCTGGCAGCTTAGTGGGTTATGTGCTTTCCAAGTGACCTTTGGAATTTTGACTGAAAATGGTAGAGACGGAACCAATTGGAGGGATGTGAAAGGGGATAACCCTGCCCTGCCCGAAGTCCCTGAACTGCTAGATCAATATGGACAGGAAACTCAATTCCATATTTGAGGGAAATGGGCTCATGTTGTATAAGAGTTTTACAGGAACTGACTGGCTTACAAATTTTATTGGAGATAACAATGAAAAAAACAGTGTTGTTTGGGTTTTTATGATTATTTAATTCTGTTCAATTATATAAAAACTAAACTCCCTTCTCATTATCCTAAGGCTAGTGTTTTCAGGGTACATTTAGCAATCATATGTTTTGGAATTTTTGGAGCAACCCCCAATTCCTTATTTAATTATTTTTAATCCTTTTAATATATCTTAATGTATAATTTAAAATTTTATAAAAATTGTATTTATTGATTGATTTTAGAGAGAGAGGGAGTGAGAGAAAGAAACATCGATTTGTTGTTCCACTCATTCAGGCAGCCGTTGGTTGATTCCTGCATGTTCCCTGACTGGGGATCGAATCTGCAACCTTGCCATATCAGGATGACACTCCAACCAACTGAACTACCCAGCCAGGGCTATAATAAAATTTTCTGACCCACTTGCAAGTCCTCTAGTTTCCCTGTTTATGTGTCCCTCTGAGATGTTCTAGGCAGAGATAAGCATGTAGGTAGAGCCTCCCCCTTATTACAAAAATGGAAAAGTACTCTGCACTGTATATGTGTGTGTGTGTGTGTGTGTGTATGTATATATATCAGAGCTCTTTTCATATGTGTTCACACAGATTTTTCCCCTCCTGTTTAACAGAAACACAAAGGATTATTAACCAACTATCTCATGGTTATTTAACTAATCTTCTATTAATAGACAGACATTCCATTGTTTCCAGTCTTTTGCAATTATAAACAATGTTTTGGTCAATATCCCTGTATGGACCCCTCCATGTACATATGAGAGCTTCTGGGATTAAATTTCTATAAATGGAATTTCTGGTGAAAGGCAAATCCACCTTTAAATTAGACAGGTATTGCTAAAATGCCCTCCAAAGAGGATGCTTCAGTATACCCGACCTGTTTGCTGTACCTATTTATCAGGACGGCACATTACCAAAGGTTTTCATCTTGATCTGTCAGATTAGTTTAGTTTTAATTTGTATATCTTTTATTCAGAGTCTTAGCACTTTTAAACATGTTTAAAATCATTTGCATTTACTATCGGTTAAAATAAACTGTGTACACCCACTTTCTTTTGAATTATGATTCTTTTTCACATTGATTTGTAGTTCTTTATATATAAATAAATGAGCTTTTCTCATTTAAAATAAAGATGACTTGTTATCTGTAGAACAGAATGTGATTTAGTGTCTATAACTAGGTATGGTTCCCATATGAGCAAATTCAAATCCACAAATCAGAAAACTATTCATTCTTAGACCATGTTTCCAGATTTTTTAATTTAAAAAATATGGTCATTAAAAAGTATTTTGAAGTTATTTACAAAGCTATGGAATCTATTGTAACATTATATATTTGTAGAGTACATTAAGGTGACTTTAAAGCATTTTATAGTTTATAAAACTATAAAAATTATAAAACTATAAATTTAATGTGATTTAAAATATTTTTATAGTTTATAAAGCTATAAAAGTAATAAACACATACTTGTCTGTTTAAAAAGTCCAATATACGCCCTAGCCGGGTGCTCAATTGGTTGGAGCCTTGTCCCGTACACCAAAGGGTTATGGGTTCAATTCCAGGTCAGGGCACATACCTAGGTTTTGGGTTTGATCCCCAGTCAGGGCACATGCAGGAGGCAGCTGATAGATGTTTCTCTCTCCCTTCCTCTCTCTCTTAAAATCAATAAAAACATATCCTCGGGTGAAGATTAAAAAGAAAAGTGCAATATACGTAAGTGTATACATTTAAAGTGCAAGGTTTCTGCCTTCCTACATGGGCAGCACCATTGTTCACAGTTCGGTGTGTATTACTCCTAACTTTTTTCTATACACCCATAATATATATTTTAAAAATCCGTTCTCAAAAAGTGGGAGCTGCATGTTGTTCTGCAAGTTGCCTTTTTTTCCGTTAAGGCTTTATCCTGGAAGTCAAGAATGGTACATTAGCAATTCTGTTTGTTAACTCTATAAGCTGACAGTCTATTAGCACAGACCATAGCGGGACCTGATATTAGTTTCCTTTGGGAGGAATCGAACAGGCTGGAACAGATAAGGAGTCTGGAAACATAGGCAGCCCGCTGTGGGCAACTTGTTTCTCCTGTAGCTCCAGTGTCTGCACTCAGGGAATGTTTTACACACAGTGTGGTGGGCATGAGACCGGGGAACAGTACAATCACAAGGAAAGAGGGCTAGAACTGAGCCCTCTATGAGCCAGCACCCAAAGACTCTTGCTTTGATTTGCAATTTGGTTTCTTGCCTTCTTTAAGTTTTATTTGTTTGTTGTTTTTTAAGATGCACCTTGAGGCATAAATCCTTGGAATCAGCAAAGAGAAGGAATGGGATCCAAATGGTTGGTGCACAAAAGTGGGCCAGGAGCCCGGCCCCACCTCTTGAGCAGTAGGGTTGTGAGGTCTACATGCTGGGGCGGCCACTGCCTCCCACGTGAGCCTGCAGGAGGCAGCCCTGTTCTCCCAGGTGGATCTGATGCCTCGTGTCCAAGGACTAAGTCTTCCTCTCCTGGGCACCCTCCCAGCAGTGCCCTACAGATAGGGATGCTCTGGAGCCAAGGTGGGAGGAGAGGGGGTTCCAGGGCTGTCTTGTCTGGCTGAGAAGTTGTCGCTACACAAACGAGCCCCATTCAGGAGGCCTCCACTCACCTAGCCTTGTGTCCTGGCTGGGCTGCACCTCTCCAGAGAAAGAGGCCCGTTTCCTCCTGACAAAGGCACTTTCTGCTCAGCCAAGCCCCAGGGGTCCGCATCTGCCTGAGGGGCTTCTTTCCAGTTAGCCAGGAGGCACTGTGTAGACCCTCCAGGCCCTGGCAGTATTGCCACGCATGGCTTCAGAGGCTCCTGATACCCAGGGGGTTGGGTGTTCCCCAGCATCCTTTGGGGCCACCCTTGAGCACCCCTCCTAGGCTTGGGAAGAAGTTGAGTTCTGGGAGGATGGCCGGGTAAGGGTTTTCTTGAATAGAATCCATTCCTGTCCAGTCAACAAATATTTGAGGCCCTACCATATGCCAAGGCCTGTTCAAGCTCTGGAAATAGGCGGAACAGGACAGACAAGGTCCTGTCTGTGGAGCTGGCATTCTGGTGTGGGAAACAGACAGGGAACAAGTTAAAGAAGTAAACAAGACCATTTTCCAGAGAGTGCTATGAGGAAAATGAAACACACAATGGCCTAAGGAGTGGGGGAGGGGTGGCTAGTGTGCAATTCATACCTGAGAGGAACCTCTTCAAGAAGGGGAGACTCAAATGACAGGAAGAAGGAGTCAGGCCAACATTTCGGAAGAACATTCCAGGGAGCCAGCACAGCAAACTGAAGCACCCTGAGGCTGGGAGACACTAGGTTCTGCAAAGAGCATAGTTGGGAGCCAAGAAGAGTCTGAGGAGTAAGAAGAGGTGAGGGCCAAATCATGCAGGCCTTGTGGCCAGGTTGAGACATCACCCGTCTTCTTCCACATGCAGTGGGAGGTCACAGGAAGTTGAAGTAGGTGAGTGACATGATCCCAGCACATGTTCAACAGGTAACTCAGGCTGCTTTGTGGAGGTGCTTGGGGGAGGGGGGAGGCAAGGAGGACTGCAGGGACACTGGTTAGAGGCTGCTGCAGTAGTCCAGGCGAGAGAGCATGGTGGCTGGAACTAGGATATCTGTGGAGAGATGGAGAGAAGGGATGAATTGGGGGTATAGGTTTGAAATTATTGCTGACACTTCCTCCAAAAGAAGCAGGGCCATGGGCCCCCAGACAAGGCCGGAAGCAGTGGTGTCACTGTTCTCCTGCTTGCACTGAATGAGAGCTGGCCCTGCCAGGGCACTGAGACCCTGCCCAGCAGACCCTCATACCACCCTTAGACTCAGGGACCCCCACAGTAGAGGACCCCCTTCATGCTTTCCTCTGGCCCTTCCCTTCCCTTGAAGTGAAGAGCTTATAAGGCCAAGGAACTTCCTGCTCAAACAGCCCCGAGGCAGCTGCCTGGGCCTACATGGGCCATGTTACCAGGCACTTGGCAGTGTGCACACCCCTGGCCCAAGAGGAGATGGGAGGGGGGCAGTTTCCAGTATGGGCAGTATTGGAGCCGTGTGCTGGGAATCCACACCCACCTGACTAAGGAACCTTCTGGCGGGGGCAGCCCCAGGGGTGGATCACAGTGCTCCCCTGCTAAAAGCTGCTTGGCAGAAGCCTGTGAGGTAGGTTCTCCCCTCACCTGGAGTGGCCTTGGCCAGAGACCCAGCTCCATCTTCGGATACAGCCTTATCTAGGCCCCTCCCTGGCAATCCCTGCACTCCAGCCGGGCAAACATCTTGTCCTTTGTTACCAGAACATGCCATGCACTCATAGCCTCTCCACCTTTGCACCTGCCATTCTGTCCACCTATCCTTCTAGCTAATTCCTGTTCATCCTTCAAAGTGCAGCTCAAAGGTCCACGGCTCCATGAAGCCCTCTCTGGCCTCCTTAGTCAGCTCCGGCTGCCATGACAAAGTGCCACACATTGGGTGGCTTAAATAACAGAAATTAATTTTCTCACAGTTCTGGAGGCTGGAAGTGGGAGGTCAATGTGCCAGGATGGTTGGGTTTCGGTGAGGGCTCTGTTCTCTGACCTGCAGACACCGCCTTCTCCCTGTGTCCTCACACGGGTGCCAGTGCATGTGCCTTTGGGGCAGGGGTGGGGGGGAGCTCTCCCTCTCTTCTCCTTGCAAGGCCACCAATCCTATCCGATTAGGACACCACCCTTATGACCCCATTTAACCTTAATCACCTCGTTAAAAAATACTATCTCTGGATATAACACATTGGGGGTTAGGACTTCAACATATGAATGTGGGGAGGGGGGCACACAATTTAGCCCATAGCACCTCCCCAAACAAAATCTGTTGATCCCTCCTCCAGAGCCCCGCATTCACCAGGGCAGGGTGTCCTATTATCAATCACATGGTACATCAATCCTTCATCCCCATGTGTGTCTAACAGACCTTTGATGAATTAATGTACGACATCCCTCTGCCCAGGCCCATTCCCTGCTCTTTCGGTGACACCTCCTCTGTGAGGAGGCCCTTCTCTCCGCGCAGACTGTGTGATGGCCTGTCTGTCCCCCCAACCCCAAGAGGGCAGAGGCCACTTCTCACTCATCTCTGGGCAATAAGCACCTTGCACAGAGCTGGCCTTGTGGGAGAATTCTGGTTCTGCTGTGGAAGGACCTGGGACCCTGGGTGTGGGCCCCTTGGGTGCCTCTCTCACCCCCACACACCCTATTAACAAAGCCTGATTCCACTGCTCCCCCAGCCCTGGGAGCCTCTGGCCCTGGCAGGAAACCAGGTGTAGACGCTGTGAACAGGATACTTCCAGGAGCCTTTTCCTTGCTCCTACCCTGGGACTGCCATCGTTCATGGCAATGCGGACAAACTGAAAATCCCACTCCGAGTTCTCTGCAGGCTCCACAGGTGCTGGTGTGTAAATGGGTCCTGCATCTGGCCAAGAGAGCAGCTCCTCGGCTCACACAGGTTATTTATTTAATGTATCTAGTTTTACTCCCTGTCCAAAAATATCAAGCTAAAAATACTTTGTGTCTGAGGTCTGGACTAAAAAAAATGAAGTAGTTGGGTCATTAATCATTGAAAATATGTTGAATAGGAACTTGATTAAAGCACAAATTGCTTCTTTACTGTGACCACAGTGGAAACCAGGCCGTGTTTTTGGCGCTGGCCTTGAGGGCTCCTGGGAGGGTTGGGGCGCCTTGCCAAGCCCTGGAAGGCCGCTGCCTGGGAGGGGGTCTTGAAAGCCCAGTGGGGCACTTCTCAGGCAGGCCCACCTCCAACCAACACCCAGGCAGCATCAGACCTGAGAGCACTAAGTCGAAAGGGCGGGGGGAGAGGGGTAGTGGCAGGAGCGACTTTCGGCCCCATGAGGCCCCCTGCGAGCCCTCCTGTCCCCACGATCCCCACATAGAAGGCGCGAGGCTCCACGTGGCTGGGGAGGCGCGCGGCCATAAACCCCTTCAGCGGGCAGCAGTGAGTGCGGAGGCGGCGCAGCGCCCAGAGGGCAGCAGCCCTGGCCGCCTGGCTCCCCAGGATCTCGGGGAACTCCGCCCTGCAAACCACCCAGCGAGGTTCTCCCTGGGCGCTCCCTCGACACCTCTGCGCCCGCCTTGGAGCCCACCCGAACAGGGATTCGGGGAGAGGCCAACGGATTCCAGCCCGTTGACAGCCAGCCCGCTTCGGGATCCCCGTTCCGGAGGCAAGTTCGCCTCCCCCTTCAGAGCGCTCCCCTCGTCCCGGTACCCCAGCCCCGGAATCCAGCTCCGCCCGTCGCACAGGGAAAAATTGGCGGCCCCACGCGGGGTAGCCGAGCCAGCCCCGCGCGCTTAGCAACCCTAGCGCTCCGGCTAGGAGAAATAATTAAAAAGAAAAAGTTTTCCAGCCCAGGCGGTCAGACCGGACAAGTCCACCAGGCTCCCTGGCCGCGGCCGCCTCCCCTTCCCTCTGCTCCCCGCGGGGTCCTAGTGCCCGGCGCCGCGGAGCCCGTGACACCCCGAAGTACTGCCAGAGGCAGAGCAGGGAGAGGTACCACACGGAATCTGCGGGGTCGCCTGGTGATCAGAGATAAAGACGCTCAATCACCGCGCTCCGGGCCTCTCCACACAGTGGTGTGCCCTGGGCCGTATCTTCAAAACTGTTCTCTGCCTCCCACCCCCACCCCGGCTCCTTCTCCACGTCGCCGCCTTCCAGAAACCCCGATCCCGGACAAGACTGGTTCTAGCTTTTAAAGCGAGCCGGCGCCACAGTAGCTCGGAGACCAAGACTTGCACTCCACCAACCCCCTGCGCGGCGGCCGGGTGCTGCTGGAATGCCGGCCTTTGGCTGGAAGTGGGTGTCTTGGGGAGGCTAAAGAAGGGGGGCCCGCCACCGACCACGTGTGCGTGGGGGCGACAACTCGGCCGAGGATGGGGCACCGCGTGCGGGTCACGGTTCTGCTCGCGGCTCAGGGGCCAGTGGGCGTTGCGGCGCGGCCTCTCCCGCCAGCGCAGCGCTCCAGCCCCACTTACCGGCTCCTCCTGAAGGCAGGCCCTAAGACCCAGGAGGCGCCACTCGTCGTCGCCGATAGTCGGCCCCTGGAGGGCGACAGCTGCTCCGATATAAATGCGGA